AATGTAGAAATGAAAAAAAAAAAAAAATAAATAAACAAAATAATAATTATAATAATGATAGTAAGTAATGCAAAAAGCAAGCGCCGACAGCCGACTTGTCGGACGACTCGTTATTACATTATTACAAAAAATTAAAAAAAAAAATTTTTAAAAAAAGGAACAAAGTTGACGAAAAGTGGGCCTTTGCGCTTTTGAGTTCTTTTATCGTTGTTCTTACCGATTACTCTTTAACTTGTTTTTGCTTGGTTTATTTTATTTTTTACCACGTGTTTTATTTTTGTCGTCCACGTTGTAGGTTTTTTATTCATTGGAAAAACCACGATTTAATTTCGACAATCTCTCTGTGCGACCGCGACAGCTGAGTTGGCTCACGCGTGTTCCCCGATGTGACCGCGTGTGCCAACTGTTTTCCGTACGATCTGATGGGCTGATTTTAATTCCATTGCGTTTCGTGTAGCTTTGTAATTACGGGAGGGGTTGGCTTTTCAGGTGGTATTCGTCGATTGAAAGTCTTACCCTCATTTTTGCAGAAAAAAATCGAAATGAGTACTTTTCGAAGAGCTAATCCTTTTGTTATTTCGAAGAAAGCGTAGTGCGACACTTTTTTCGGCGCTAAAATTGTAAAAATTGGGAAAAAATTGAAGGGACAAAATAGAAAAAAATAAAAAAATGAAATCGAGTGCACGAAGCGAGAAGCGATCGCGACCGCCAGCGGAACTTAGGGCACTGTACATTGTAAATAGTAGTACATCAGATTAAGAGAGAATAAAAATGTGTTAATACGAGAAAGTGAACGAAAAGCCGAATATGTTACATTGTATTGAAACGAAATAAAAAACAGACAAGAAATACGTACACAAACACTCATAAAAGCGTAATTAATACATCGAACACAGTATAATAGTCGAGGGAATTTTAAAAATTTACGTATCGTCGGGGAAGAATTGAACGCAAATGGGCATGTGACTGCTGGCGTAGCGACAGAAAAGAGTGTGTTTTTGGGTACTAAAGGAGCAAGATTGTGAAAAAAAATCATGCTATTGTTAAATTGTCGAGTATGAGAGAGTGTCGCGAGTGCTGATCGCGCGTCACGAGTCTATAGAGTTTTGTACGGGACCGCATTGAGAGGACAAATTTTTGAAAAGATTAAGAATACCAATTGGGCGGTGCTAATAGCCTTTTATACACGTACACTATTAAGAACTGTCTTTTGCACTTTTTCCAATTTTAAACGAAAGATTCGAGATTCACAGCGCCCCTTTCGACTGAGACGATTCGTCGTGAGATAAAGTTGTTGAATAAGAAAAAATAAAAATAATTAACTTAATGAATAAACAATAGTGATACGCCAACAATAATGATAACGAAGACGAATTAATAAAAAATTTTGTATTCAATCTAGTCGCAAGCGGTCCCGAGGAAAACGCGTCGCAGGCTCGAACCAGCGATCGGACCAACCTTGATCCGTGCGTTCATGTTAAATTAAGATTTCAAAAATTTCCCATTTATCGAAGATACTGTTTTTGCCGTGACGATGGCGATGATGATTGTGCACCGTTTTAAAAAAAACGATCGAAAATTGACGACAAAAACGCAAATGTACACCGGCAATTATGCGCACGAAAATACTGTGACAAAATGTTTGAGCAAAGAAAAAAAAAATCGACATACAATATGGACAACAACAAGAACTATCAAAAACAATAAAGAGTATTATTCTATATAACGATGATTACTATTTCTTTATTTGTTAAACCCGATAAGCCTATACCCGATACTCCTCACTTCCTACCTTGGCAAGTTCACTCATTGTTCATGTTACAAAACAAGTCTTTCTATTTTATTATCAACAATTTAAATCTAGAATGAAAAAAATTTCTTAAAATATGTTCGAGGTCATCCACAATCCAACGAAAAATGAACAACTACAAGCTATTTAAAGGAAAAACGACAACGAGGAACCGCAGGGAGTTATCGACCTCGACACGAGGCCGTCGCACTTATCCACCCTGAGATATTTAATAACAGAATTTCGTTGAAAAAATTTGAAAAGTTTTCGTTACATTTATCAAATTTATCACTGTTGACTGTAATCCACAAAATTATTCACACACAATTTTATTTTACAAAAGTTAATTCTACAATTCAAAGAAAATAAATACAACATTGCGTGAACAACCGGTCGTGAGAAGAACAAACATTAACGATTATGAAAAACAAAAAAACAACAACAACAAAAGCCACTCAAAAGAGGGTAACGAACACGTAGTACACAACCAAACCGAGGACAGCGATGAGCCCGTAACAGGCGCACTTGCACGGGCAGCGCCGGCAGGGACAGCAGCAGCGCTTGCCGGCTTCGTCGCCGGCTTGGAAGACCTCGTGTAGAACATTGGCTCGGATGCCGCGCCAGAAGGTGAGGAAGTAGTCATCCCAATCGAGCCGGCGAACGTCACCGTCAAAGAGCTCACGGTCCCGACCGTTGAGGCGCTCGTACGCCTTCAGCGTCTCGGGCATTCGGACCCGCCAGTTGCCCTCGGTGAAGCGGCGCAACCGGCACATGTCGCCCATCGACGAGCGCACCAGAGACCAGGCTCTAAAATCATACATTTGTGATAAGAAGATCTCCTTTATTCTGTAGTATTGAATCAAATGATCTTTATTGTTTTCTAGACTTTGTTTTTATTTAAAGTGGGATTTTTTATAGGTTAGGTGTACATCAATCGCTATACGAGAGAAACAAAGTAATCTGATTTGTAAAAAAAATGATATTACTGCCTACTCTAACCATTGTTTTTTTAAGGCAAAACTTTTTATAGCTACACTATAAATCGAATCGTCTTCAATTATGCGTTTAAATCGTGTCGTTACAATTTTTGTTTTTTGTAAAGCACATCGTGGTGGCGTAGATGAGAATTTGAAGAACAACCAAATCTATGGTGCACCAAGTGGTGAACCAGTTCAATGAAATTGGACACTTTTGAATGGGAAAAATCAATGTAGGAAAAGTGTAGAGTGAAAAAATTTGGCTGTCACAAATTTAACACGCTTACAAGTGAGTAAAATCTGTGACAGAAATATTTTACTCTCTTAGAGCCTTCTCATGTTAATCGTTGAACAAAAACAATAGTTTAGTTTAATATCATAGGTACAATAAATAATGAAGCATCAATTTGGTTGTTCTTAAAACGTTTATCAAGACTACTATAATGCGTTTTATAAAAACAGAAATTTCGATTACCAAATTTTTTCGACGATTGTTTGTTATACGTGTCTTGCACAACAAAGTGTACATTCGAGGTTTATGACTGCGATTGAGATCAGGAGATGAACTTATCACCTGTGCTTTCATGCAGTTTGAATGTGATTTTCAATGTGATCCATCGCACAATGCGTTTTATGTTTGGAAACAGTAAGTATATTTTACCCTAAGTTGATAGATGATGCAAAAATCGAAAATCAAAAGTGTACGTGACTTTATATCGCTGCTTGCGTTATCGATGCGCTCAATACTTACTCCGGGGGATTTCCGTGCAAAACCGTGAAAACATCGATTATCAAAGCTGGCAGGTAGTCGATTAATATGCGCAGGAAGAAGTACATGACGTAATTCGTCGCGAACACGACGTAGGGCATGCGTTTGCTTTTCGAGGATACCAGTGCGCCGGGCTCGTTCATGATTTTTTCCTTGATTTGCCTCATCGTGACTGGCTTCTCGTGACTCGTGCCGAAATTGTACACAAAAGCTTCGGGCTCGGTTTGCCTGTAAATACATTTTTTGAAATATATATTTACAACATTATGTATTTCTTTTGGGGGGGATAAAACAACGAATGGTCTTGCTCATTAACGTGGACAATTTAAAAATCCTTCAAGGAAACATCCCTTTTCGTATTGCATTAATCTTTTTGTAATTTGTTCCAATGGTTATTATAAAATAAGGCCCTGTACTGAGTCACCGGTTTTATCCATGCCAGTGTATGATTAAAAGTAACATTGAAAAATGCACCCGAAGCTCCACCTGAGTTACGTATGTATAGTTTCGATCGGCATGTTAGAGCCTACAAAGCTGCACTTAGCTACGGACAGTAAGTGAATATTTAACACGTCAAAATTTTACAAGTGTTTAAAAAAAAAATGATAATAACATGTCAACATACAGAAATGAGCAGTCATATTTTAAAACACATTTTAATTGTAAAAGCTGTCTTGCCCAACAGCACTTACCAGCGGTCGACAGCGTCCCATGCACAGACGATCATGGCGTTCGCGCTCATATCTGCGGGCACTATGTCTACAGGATAGTCGATACTGTAGACCACGTGGATGGCACCCATCGCGATTTTTATGAAAAAATCGGCGGGCCCGTTTTTTGAGTCGCAGTAGCCTGGCGTTGGCTCCTTGTACGAGGATATCACTGCAATTCACAGTAAGGGTTAATTTTTTTGCTTTAAAAAATGGCTTATTTAGAAAAATTTTTATGAAAAGTAGTTTGTCAGAAAAATCCAGAGAGAGACGATTTATTCTTTCGTGGATATACGTATCAGTGCTTGTGCCATGTAAATTTCAATATTAAACAAGATTGTTGTTCACAATCAGTTGGAGCTCGAGCAATCTCGATCAGAGGTTACTAAAGAATAAGTTTCATTGGTATACTTGTAACTAATCTAAGCATGGCATTTACTACAATATGATTCCCTAAACGAGATGTTTAGATATTGAGAACAGACCAGTAAAAAAAAGCAGTTAACTTGAAAGAACAGTTTTTTCGTCCATATTACGGAAGTCTAGTTAAAAAATCACATAGTTTAAAAAAGTGCATCTTTTTTTTTCTTTCTGATTTTCAATTATAATGATACAAAAATAAAATTAATAGAAACCTTTTAAACTAAAAAATGAGCCCAAGATTTAAAAACCAATTTTTAGGACGTACATGCAAAATAAAAAAAAATACAATTAAATGCTCAGTATTCAAAAATCAAATATATAACGTGATCCGTGCGTTCATGTTAAATTAAGATTTCAAAAATTTCCCATTTATCGAAGATACATATATTTTACAATTTTTTTTTTTTTTTTTTTTTTTTATCAGTTATATCGTTTTCAAAGCTCCTCTTCGATCGGCGTTTTTTCGAATCGCGCGGCGTTCGGGCGAATATAAATATATACACATACCCACCTCGGGGCTCTCAACGTGAAACTCGCCCCCGGGCCGGCGATGCGTTATCACATCCTCTTGGTACATCATCGTCGTGTGCGTAAATAATCGACATCGCTCGCCTAGCCGGCGAACGTTGGGAGCCCCGTCGCTTTTCGATGATTAGGTTATCATCGCGGCGTTCGGGTGGAAAGCAACGCGCGAGATATATACGTCTTGTGATTATTAACATTAATCTCCTGATTTTTTCTTTTTTTCTTTTTTTTTTTTTTTTTTTACTTTTTATTCCCCTCGTACTATAGCTAATTGTAAAACACACGCGATACTTCCCGACGAACAGAGATGGCTTCTTGCGGAGTCTCAGCCCCAAGGATCATTTTATTTTTATGTTTTTACGTACAAAGTTTTTGTATTCACATATACAAAATACGAATATTTTTTTATTGTTTTCGAACAACCCACATAGAGCAACGAATCGATGTGACGTGAATTTCGAGTCTCCGCAAGATTCGTGTACACTTTGCACCTCGTAACGATAAAGATAGACGAAAGGCATGGTGCTAGGAAGTCTTGCCCTGGTGCTGCGTGAAAAAAAAAAAAAAAAAAAACTTTTGTCCATACACAAGTCCGTATGTATGTTACAAATGTACATATGTGGAAAAAAAAAAAAAAGTATAAGGATGTCGTTAAAGTTTCTTCTTTTCCATCTCGTTTACCGCTACCGATCCTTTCGGTACTTTGTTTTGTCATTCGTACGAGATGTACATATGTACATACATCGATTGTTTTTATGGTTAAATGAGACATTTCTCGTACCCCGAGGAAGTGCAAGGGAGTGGACGCGAGAGCAAAATCCTCGGCGAATAATTGATCTCACGCAGCCGGAACGAAAAAAAATTGTCTCGCGCGCTTGATCCCTCGCGTCCGCCAAACTCTTTCGCGTGCATTTTCACAGACTACTCGCCCTGATTTACTTAAACTCGATGTGATTTCTAACGAATTTCCTTTTTACCTTCTTTTATTTACTCGCATCAGCCGAACTGAACGTATTTCATATACTTAACAAAATGCACCGATGGCCAAGTTTGAGACGCGTATCCTTACCGGCACACGAAACACATTCGCACACACGTCGGATCGACATTTTATTTTTCAACCAGTGAAGAAAAAAAAGCAAAAACACCGAGAGATAATCGTCTCACCGTATCCACACATGTATACGCTTCCACAACCAGACACACACTCGAGTAATGATAATCTTCCGCGACCCGACAAATGCGAGGACTTTACGAAAGGACAACAAGAACAGGACGCTCTCTTTCTCCCGACGTTGTGTCGGTGCGTAGAGCAATATTAAGTACATATGAAAAAAAAAGCGTCGCTTTTGTGGCAAGAGTCTTTGCACCCTCGACTCCCGCAAGGAGATGTATATCCTGTGTAGGTCGCCGCTAGGCTTCCAAGAGATCGGGTCGTCATCGTGTCAGTTTGGCACTGAAAACTCGTGTACGAAAGCTCACGTGTATGCGCGCGAAAACCTAGCAATACTCAAGCAAAAAAAAAATAGAGAGACGGACAGAAGGAAGAATCGTCGTCAATAAAGCGAATGTGTGTGTGTGTTTGCGTTCGTGTATTACGTGCGCTAGACGCATAAAAAATCCAATCGGCACAAAAGAAGACGTATTAATATTGTTGTAAATGCGTAACAATAAGTTTTCGTGTAAAATGTAAGAGCGAAAAATGGCGAGCGTTCGTGATGTGTCTTTTTTTTTTTTTTTTTTTTTTTTTTTTTTTTTTTTTTTTTTTTTTTTTTTTTTTTTT